GACGTGGACTTGCACCAGGACACAGGTGTGCAAAGGGAAAAGGACTTGCAGCAGGATGCGGGCGTGCAAAGAGACATGGACTTCCAGCAGGACGTGAGTGTGCAAAGAGATGTGGACTTGTAGCAGGACGCAGGTGTGCCAAGGGACGTGGACTTGCAGCAGGATGTGAGCGTGCAAAGAGACAAGGACTTACACCAGGATGTGGGTGTGCAAAGGGACAAGGACTTGCAGCCCGACACAGATGTGCAAAGGAGAAGTGGACTTGCACCAGGACATGAGCGTGCAAAGGGACGTGGACTTGCACCAGGACATGGGTGTGCAACGGGATGTGGACTTGCACCAGGACGTGGGTGTGCAACGGGACGTGGACTTGCACCAGGACTTGGACTTCGACCAAGATGTGGGTGTGCAAGAAGGTGTGCACCAGGACGTGAGTGTGCAGTGGGACATGGACTTGGAACAGGACATGGACTTGGAATGGGACGTAGGTGTGCAAGAAAGTGTGCAAAGAGACATGGACTTGCACCAGGACGTTGACTTCGAATGGGACGTGGACGAAGGTGCGCACCGGGACGTGGGCGTGCAATGGGACATGGCTGTGCGATGGGACACGGGTGTGCAACAAGATGTGCACCAGGACATGGGCGTGCAACAGGATGTGTACGTGTGACGGGGCATGGGCGTGCAACAGCATCTGCAACGGGACGTGCAACAAGCCATGGGCGTGCAACGGGATCCATACGTGTGACGGGGCATGGACTTGTGACGGGACATGAGCGTGCAAAGGGACGTGAGTGTGCAGCAGGGCATGGGCGTGCAACGAGGCGTGCACCAGGAGGTGCGCGTGCAACGGGGCATGGACGTGCAACAGGATCGATACGTGCGACGGGGCGTGGGCGTGCGACAGGAGATGAGTGTGCAACAGCGTCCACACTGGGGCGTGCGACGCGACGTGGGCGTGCGACGAGACGTGCGACGGGACCTGGACTCGTGAGAGGACACGGGCGTGCGACGAGACCTGCGTGTGCAACGGGGCACGGGTGTGCGGCGGCGGCAGCGCCGGGACGTGCAAAGGGCTGTGGACGTGCGACAGGGCACGTGTGCGTGCCGGGACGTGCACGAGGCCGTGTGACGGGACACACGCGTGTGCCAG